GACGGAGGGTGTGCCAGGAATCGAGTCAGGTAATGGCTCTTGTGAGCAGGTGAGAGGGAAGCTGAGGATACAGAGGGACCAGACGGAGCTGCACAGACCTGGTGGGGGGCCTTGGGGCTGAGTACCAGTGCAGGCAGGGGAGGCCGGCTCACAGGCTGTGTTGCCCACACGCCTGGGAGGTCACGGAGGCCTCACATAGAGGAGGAAGCCACATGGGGACCACCCTCCAGAAGTGTGACCAGCAGGAGGAACAACCCAAAGTCAAGGGAGCCCAGGCGTGTGTGGGGAGAGTCTGGCATGTGTTCATGGCTGGTGGTGGGTGCTCACCTGTGAGGCCAGGTGAGCGGCATTGAGGAACAGCTGCAGAGGAGAGACAGACAGAGTGGGAGAGAGGGGAGGTGAGGAGAGAGACGGAGACTGGGAGAGAGCGCTGCAGGGCAGAGAGCAGCTGCTTTGGGGGTTCTGAGGAAGTTACACGGATCAGTGGTGGTCTCCAGTGTGTCAGCGTGTTCAGATCACTGGATTTTGGAGCAATTGTGATGGCGGGCAGAGGGACAAGGGTGTGAGTTAGGGACAGAGACTAGTTTGAGGGAAGTGACTGCAGGCAGGGTGAGGGGGTGAGGCGGTGGCCCTGAGCCCCTGGCCTCAGTGACACTCAGTCATGTGTGGAGTGGACTGGATGGCTGGATGGACAGACGGAGGAGCAGGCGGGTGGATGGATGACGTGGGGGGGGGGCGGGGAGTGGGCTGGTCTTGTCCCATGTCAGGGTGGTGGTCACCTGACACTTGATACAGTGAGGGAGGGCCTTGGAGGTACAGGGATGTTAGAAGTGATTTTCCCCAGAGCCCAGAGTGTGACTGGAGGCTCTCCGCTCCTCCTGGGAATTTTACCCAAATCTGAGGTGTGCAGGTGCCTAGAGTTTGGCCATGTCCCAGACTGTGGTGAGGAACGCATGGGGGATGAGGATGGGGAGATGGGGGGGGGACATGCGGGGAGAAGGGGGTGTGGGGACTGTGGGGATATAGCAGGCTTGGGGCATCATGGATCCTGGGACCTGGGTCTCAGGTGGAAAGGGTCCTTCAGCAACTCCACCTGGGCCTCACAGTAAAGGTCGCTGGGGTCAGAGAGTCAGCAGAGGATCCTCGATATTCCAGCAGAGTTTGGGGGTCCCTGTGTCCCCGCACAACTCGGATCTTGGGGTGCCAGGGAGGATGCCAGCACCCGTCTGGGCAGGTCCACCATGGGTGGACTTTCCTGCCTGTCCCCCCTCCCTGGTGTCCTGAAGTGACCATGGACTTTGGGGGAAGTTGCACAGACAGCGCAGAACTCCAGGGCCGAGGGCCTAGTCCTGTGGCCCTGGGAAGCCACATGGTGTCCCCACAAGGAGGACTGGCAACTCCCGATTCCCACGGATCCGTTTCTACCCCAGGATCCCGGGAACCTGGCCTTCAGGTTTACCGGTGTCCCCTCATGTCCCTCCATCCCGGCGTGCGGGGGGGGGGGGGGAGGCGGTGATACTGGGAAGGGCCCAGGGCATGTGTCCTGAGAACCCAGTGCCCTGCTGGGAGGGTTGGGGCCCCAGTGCCCCCTGGGTGCCGCTGCATGTAATTCCCCAAAATTCCAGCAGGTGGCACTAGAAGCTAAGAAATGCGCACTGGTCACCTGAGGTCTAGACCGGTTTGGGGCCCAGGGTGTTCAGAGCCGGGTCTCTCCCTGAGCTGGAACAACCGGGCCCAGAGCCTGTGATCCCTATGGACCCGGTCACCCCACTGAGGAGCCCCACCTTCCTCAGGTGTGGACAGCCACAGCGCCTATCTGCCTGAATGGGAACCATGGTCCGTGGTCATGACAAAAGCTGAGTTCTCAGGTCTCCAGATCCTTCTGGGGAGACCTGCCCCCATGGGTGCTGCCACCTTCTGCCGGCTCCTGCCTGCAGCTCCTTCCCAGGGGACACCTCCTGGGAGGCCAGAAGGCTCTGGGGCCATTGGAGAGGACACTGAGTGGAACCACAGGGACCCCGGACAGCTGAGGCCTCAAATCCAAAGTCCTACAAACGCTCATTACTAACTTCAGAATGTTCTAAGTCTCATCACCATGCGGCTTGAGAACCAGAGAACCAGAAAATCCTAGCATTTCCAGCTGGCCTGTTGTCAGGGCCCCTGGGCAGAGACACACCCCATGGGCACCCTGTCCTTGGTACTAAACCCCACCCTGAAGACAAAAGTGCCCACACTCTTGAGCCAGAGCTGGGGCTTTGCATCTGTCCCGCTCATTAACGGAGGGAGAGGTGGGGGCACTAAAATCAGCTGGACCAGAGCCACGAGATGCTCTTCGAGTCCATCCTCATCCCTACATAGAGGACACAGACCAGGAGCCCCCATGCCCTTGGCCAGGAGCGCCTTAGGGGAGGTAGTCACGGCCCAGGTCTGTGTCCTGAACGCAGCACCGTGACTAGGGCAAACTCCATGCATGCTCAGTGGGGGCTCTCGCAACACCCCCATGTGTGACAAAACGGGGAGAAACTAGTACGTCAGCGAAAGGACAGTGGGTGAGCTGAGTGGGCAGCCATGGTCCTGGTCACCTCTGATGACCTGGCTGGTTTATGGAGACCCAGTGTCTCAGGATTAAGGTGAAAGCAAGATGGGCAGGACAGGGCTGTGAATTTAGGAGGCAAAAACATGGGCTCGATGCTGATGAGATGGGGGACTGGGGTGCAATAGACCAGCCCAGAAAGTGCTGGCCCAGGAGCTGTGGGTGAGCCTGGGTAGGAGAGAAACCACCAGTTGGATTTGGATGCGGCGTCAGGAAGAGTGAGAGATCCTCGAAGTGAGAGGGTCACCCGGGGTAGCCAGCTTTCAAAACCCTCCCCGGAGGCCACCTGGCAGCCTCGGCCTGGACCAGTCTGCTCCCCAGACCACTCCCACCCTCCCCCACCTGTCTGCAGGGCCCTCCCTTGGACCCCAACCCTGACCACAGGCCATGGTGGGCTCCAGGACACCCCTCAGCTCTGACACCAACACAGGGGCTCTGCAGGATGTGTCCTCAGCCCGGGTGGGGGTCCCAAGTCCTTGGAGGAAGCTGGGAGTGGCAGTGATGGGGGAGAAGGTACATGGGCCAGTGGATGTCCGGCTGGTTAGGCCAGTGGGGCCCATGGCCATTTCAGCAATGATGTCCCACTCAGCACAGCCCCCTGCTGCCCTGTGACCCCCACCCCCCAGGCCTTCCCCAGCTGCTCACACTGCCCCAGAGGGTCCGCCAAGGCCTGTCCCAGCCCCACCGGACTGACCAGCTGTCAACTCGGAGGACACCCCTGCCCAACCTGTGAGGACAGCACATGGGTCAGTCAATCCCTCAGGAGCAGTGAGGCCCCTGCTGTGGGCCCAGTGACAGGACAGTGAGGCCCCGTGATTTCCTAGCTGGGCTGAGCCTTTGAGCATCGCAGGTGGGGACGTAACCGTGGCCATGGCAGCCTCAGTGGGACCTGAATCTCAGCCTGTGCTGCCTCGGGCGTGGGAAGCGCCACCCAGGGGTGTGGCCTCCAGCCCCCAAAGCCCTGCCCCACTGTGTCCTGGGCCCCTGAGGCTCGGCCGCTGCTCCAGTCTCATCCAGAGCCCACGTCCTCCAGAAGGGAGCATCCCCGAGAACCTGCCCCAGTGCCGCTGTGGCAAGGACACCTGCCAGCCCAGCAGAAGCCGCCATGGGGAATAGCACGCGGGCCCTCAAGCACGGAGTGACCGCCTGACCCAGCAGCCCCACCGGTGTCGTCTCCTGGAGGGTTGGAAGCAGCATTATTCAGTGGCCAAATGTGGGAACTTCCCTAATGCCGTGCACGGACGAGGGGATAACAGCACGTGGTGTGGACATACAATGGGGTTACACACTCTAAAAGGAAGGGAATTCGGGCAAGGGCTCCATGGTGGGTGGACCCAGAGGACACCCTACCCAGTGAAGCTGGCCCATCACAGTGGCCACAGGCCGTGCGATTCCATTGTGTGAGGCGCCTGGAGTGGTCAGAGTCAGACAGCAGCTGGGGCCAGCGGCTGGGGCGGAGAACAGAGTTCAATTGGGAAGACGGGAGAATTCTGTGGGTGGGCGGCGGTGCGGGCTGCACAACTGTGCGAGTGCGCCTAATGCCCCTAATGCCCCTGAGCTGTGCACGCAGGAGCGGCTAAGACGGGACGTTCTGTTATGTGTATTTTACCACAATACCTGTGAGGGACTCTGGCTGTCTGAGAACCAAGCCCAGGTGGAGGAGAGCCGTGCCAACCAGCGCCCACCACCCAGCACCGGCTGCCCACCCAGCACCCGGAGCTCCTGGGGCCACGCGTCCAGGGCCATGGCCCCGAGCTCTTTGGTGTGGGCTTTAAAACTGCATCGTCGCTGAGGGTTCACGTTCATTACACTTTGGCGAGATGCCACTTCCTGTTTCTAAGTAGAAAAAAGGCTCAGTGGCTTGTAAACGGTGGCTGTCGGGGGACATCAAACGCTTCTGACACAGCCTCTTGGTGATTTACTTGTAATGAATCAGAAGCACATGGACTAAATTCCCCTTGAAATTCACTCGGGTTTAAAATGAATGGAAAAAGTGCCTTGCAAAGCTTGTTTAGAGCTTTATTGAACCAAACGCACGTTTAAAATAGTTTTGGGAGCCATGGAACCTAGTCCCGGGCAACTCTATCCAGTCCCCGGCCAGAGTCTCCCCAGCACTGCATCCCCGGCACTAATGACCCCGTTCAGATGGATAAAGGACGCCAGAAGCACAGACTCCCGGGAGTTTAAGAAAAAGGTTACAATACTGTCATTAGAAACTAGTAGCTGCTTTTATTTCGCAAGAGGAGAGAGTTGTGGATTCACAGGTGCATCTCACCAGAAGCAAAAGTAACATTTTTCCATGGGGAGGTGTTGAGGAGCAGGTGCCACAGGCATAGAAAGTGGTCCCTGGGCCTCCACCACCCGCCCCCTCCCTCCACCCGCCTCCCCTCCTCCACCTTGCCCTGGACATGGATACTGCCCCAGAGGCCCTCTCGTCCTGCAAGTGTGGAACAGAGGAGGCAGAGGCCCACCGAGCAGATGCTGGGCCTTCCTGGGGACTTGCCTGCGGTAGCTGAAGGCTGATGGGAAGGGCCCAGGGAGCTGGGCCTCAAGGGATCAGGGCAGGCGATGCATCTCCAAACCTGTGCGGTAGCTGATGCAGCCAGACCCGCCCGAACCACGTGACCACTCAGACTACTTGTGCTTCTAAGAGCGTCAAGGTAAATGTGAGGAGCCTGGCCAGACCCCGGTGGCAGGCACATCCTGGGGGCAGGTTCACGCAGCTTCAACGCCTTCTTCCTCCGCCCTCGTCACAGAATTGTGTATTTTTCATCTGCCTACGAAGCCCATCTCTCCTGTCCTCACAGATGCACAAGGGGCCCCGGCCAGGTCCCCGAGCTATGGCTCTTGGATGATCCGCGATTCCCAACTCCAACCAGACCAAGCACCAAGGGCAGCAGTCCCTCACCGGGGGGGACGCAGGAGGGCGTTCAGGTCCCACGGGAGCAGGTGCTCAAATGCTCGTGGATCTGCCTCTGGACTCGCTCTCCTCCACAAGCTCCCCACCCCCACAGCAGGAGAGCGCCTCTGCCCAGCGGCTGCAGGCTCGCACCCCTGGGAGCGGGGTCCTTAACAAAGGCTGAGATGGGATGCAGGGGTGCCCACACTGGCCTGGAAGTAAGAGCCCAGTCCAGCGCAGAGGTGCCACTGCCGGGCTGCCAGCCAGGCTCCCAGGGTGTCCTGGGTGGGGGTGACTTCTGGGCCACCCGCACTGAGACAAGGTGGGATGCCGGGTCCTGGAAGGAAATGAAACCACTTGGCATTTGTGCTGGTTCCCTGGGGCCCCCATTAACAAGTGACCACAAACCGGGAGCTCGAAGCAGCAGAAATGCATTCTCTCAGGTTCCAGAGGCCAGAAGCCCAAGATCAAGGCGTCCGCAGGGCTGCGCCCCCCTGGAAGCTGTGGGGGGAGGAGGGGTCCTTCCTGCCTTTTCCAGCTGCTGGGGAGCCCTGGAGGTGGTAGTGAAGGAAAATGGGCCGAGAGTCCTGGGTCCAGTGAAGATGCGGCCTAGGCTGAGGGGAGAATTGGGAGCAGGACCGGGGCACACGGCCCTCTGGGCAGAACAAGCATCAGACATGCCCCAGACACCATCCCAGCCGCGGTTTGACCAGGCCCCTTCTGTGGAGGAGCTTACTGCCGGGCATTGTTCAGAACAGCACAACAGTCATGGTCGGGGGCTGTGAGCTGGGTGTGGCCAAGGAAAGAGAGTCCTACCAAACTCTGTCCTCCCGGGGGGACAGTGGGCACCCAGGAGCCACGGCAGGGTCTGAACACTGTGGGAGGGGAGAGCTTCACTCAGATAATCCAGCCCCTCGCTAAGCAAATAAACAATCAAACAACCACCACCCAGACTGGGAGGGGAGGAGGTACCAGTACCAAAAGGTGCCACAATATATTGTCTAAAATACCCAGTTTTGAACAAAGAAATTACGATGCAGGCAAAAAAAGGGCAAGACTGCATGACCCATACATCCTTAAAAAGCAAAACAAAACAAAACAGGTAACCAAAGCTGCCTGCAAGAGGGACCCGATGTTGGATTTAACAGAAAAGTAATTAAAAACATTCGCTGTGACTGTGTTGACAGAACTGGGGAGAAGCTTGATTAAAGAAGTAAAGGATAGAGGATGATGATGTCACATCAAACAGGTGCGATCCATAAAGAGACAGAAACTGTAAAAAGGACCAAATGGAAATTCTGGAGCCAGAAGGGACCACTGAAGCACCAGCTCACTGGAGGGGCCCAAGCAGCAGGTGTGCGCCGGCGGCAGAAGAGGACTGAATGGACCTGGATGGGTCAGTGGAGATGATGGAAGCTGAGAGCAGAGAGAAACAAGAGTGAAGGAAATCAAGGATGGCCCGGCCGGTGTGTCTCAGTGGTTGAGGGTTGACCTATGAACCAGAAGGTCATGGTTCCAGTCCTGGTCAGGGCACATGCCGGGTTGTGGGCTCAGTCCCCAGTAGGGGGCGTGCAGGCAGCAGCCCAACAATGATTCTCTCATCATTGGCGTTTGTAGCTCTCTCTCCCTCACCCTTCCTCTCTGAAATCAATAAAAATATATATTTTTTTTTTACAAAAGAAGATGACCTCAGAAAAATGTGGGCCAACCTATGGGTAGTGGGGCTACAGGAAGGACAGGGGAGAGAGAAAGGGGAAGAAAAACATTCAAAGAAATGATGGCTGAAAATGTCACAAATTTATCGAAAAACAATAACCTCCACATCCCAAAAGCTCAGTGAATGACAAATTCGGAGACCCACTCATGACACATCTCAGTAAAAATGCCAAAATTCGAAGACAAGGAGCTATCTCAAAGGCAGCAAGAGAAAAACGATGCATCGCTTACAAGGGAACTCCCATAAGAGCAACAGTGTCTTCCCAGCAGATGCAATGCAGGCCTGAAGGCTCTGAGTACCCCAGAATCCTACACTTAGCAAAACTATCTTTCAAAAATGAAGATGAAATGTAGATGTTCCCAGATCAACAAAAACTGATAATTCGCTGCTCACAGACACACCTTACAATAAACACTAAAGGAATTTCTTCGGGCTGAAAGCAAGTGACTCCAGACAGAAATGGATCCACATGAGAAGAACAGCTCCTGTAAAGGGAATTGTATGATTTTATACAGTACGGATGTGTATTCTTCTTTCTTCTCATAGCTGATTGAAAAAGCAACTGCATAGAATAATGTGCATATAGTGTGATGCTGGGACTATAAATAATAGAAATGTAATAGGCTGCGACCTATCTGCCAATAACAACACAAAAGAAGTGGGTGGAGCAAAGCTGTTTTGGTTAAGGAAGTGGCTGCAGGTGGTAAAGTAATAATTGCTACAATGTGTTGTGGGGTTTGTAGCATCACTATTTGTAATATGTCCAACAGAGAAGGGAGAGAGGGGGTAGGCCTCTGTGGGGTTAAGATGTATATGTGTCACTAACATTAAGCTGCTTGTGATATGTTTTTGTTTTGTTGTTAATTCTCACCTGAGGATATTTTTTCCATTGCTTTTCAGAGAGTGGAAGGGAGGGATGTAAGAAGAGGGAGAGAGAGAAAAAAAAAAGCATCGATGTGAGAGAGACCAAACCTGAAACCCAGGTACCTGCCCTTGACCAGGAATCGAACCCATGACCCTTTGGTGGTCGAGCCAACACTCTAACCACTGAGAAACAACGGCAAGCTGCTTGTGATGTTAATGTGTGTGGTAAACCAGAACAACCAATAGGAAAATAACTTATAAAAAGTAAAAAAAAAATCACTAAGTAATTAAAATGCTCCCTTTAGAAAAATACCACTCAACATAAGAGAAAGCAATCAAGAAGGAATAGAGGAACAAAAAAAGACATGAGAAAAACAGAAAACAAAACAAGTACAATGGCAGGTGTAAATCCAGGTAACAATATTGGTATGAATTAAACAAGTCAATCAAAGACAGAGATTGTCAAATTGAACAATAAAACACAATCCAACTTTAAGCTGGTTATAGGAAACACACTTTAGATGCAAAGGTGGAAAAAGACAATTATGCAAAGAACAACTATGGAAAACTGGAGCGGCTGTACTAATGTCTGACAAAGCAGATTTTAACACAAAAAGTTTTATTAAAGATAAAGAGGGATATTTCATGATAATTGAAGACCAATCCATCAGGAAGACAACAGCAAGTATAAACACATGTGTCCCTAACAACAGAGTTCCAAAATATAGGGTGTCCCACAAATTTGTATACACACAACGTAGATTCTATTACATTTTGAAAATGAAATGTATTTTGATAAACACTGCTTTTATAATTATTCAGTGTGTATACATTTTTGGGACACCCTGTGGATAAAGCAAAACCAGAAGGAATGAAGGGGAAACTTGATGGTGCTACAGAAACACCCCCCCAGAGACTTCACTACCCCACTTTCTTTTTTGTTGTTGTTATTAATCTTCATCCAAGGATATTTTTTCCATTGATTTTTAGAGAGAGTGGAAGGGAGGGTGGAAGGGAGAAAGAAACACTGATGTGAGAGTGACACATCGACTAGCTGCCTCCTACGCCCGCCCGACCAGGGCTGGGGAATGAACCTGGAACCCAGGGACATGCTCTTGCCCGGGAATCAAACCTGTGACCCTTTGATGCTCATGCTGATGCTCAAACCACTGAGCCACCAGCCAGGGCAATGCCCCACTTTCCATAATGGATGTAACAACCAGACTGGCGATCAACAGAAACCAGAAGACTCGAACAACACCTGAGACCAACTAGACATTCCAGACATCTGTAGAACACACAACCAACAGCAGAATACAGATTCCTCTCAAGTGCACATGGAACTCTGCCAGGTAGACCACACACAGGGCGGGGCAGAAGCAGGTGTACAGTTGTTCACATGGAAAATATTAAAATAACTAATAAATAACAATACAAGAATAAACTCTGTTTCACATACTCACAACTGCACACCTCCTTTTGCCCCATCCTGTACTAGGTTATGAAACACGCCAGCCGTCTAAGGCAGGGACTGGGGCTAGGGAGGTGGGCGGAGATTTAGCAGACAGGCCATAGGGACCCAGGGAAGAGGGTGGGAGGCGGGTGGGAAGAAAGCTCTGGTGACTGACTAACTGCGGCTATGGGGCGATGATGCCTGCCGGGAGGGTGAGGGCTAACAGTGATGGGTGAGGTTTCCCAGTGAGGAGGTCCCTGGGTGGCTGCTGCAAGTGTGGAGGGTGCGGAACCAGGAGCAATGCTGAGCGGTTTGGGGGTTTTCTGGATGCCCTGGGCATGTGCCCCAGGGCGGGAAGTTGATTGATTGATTGATTGATTGATTGATTGACTGACTGCAGTTTCAGATCTGGTGGTCAGGCTGAGGCTAGGCTGGGAGGCCAATGAAGAAGGCCTTTGGATGGGGGTTGGAAGAGATAGTGCACAAGTGAAAGCACAGTGTTGGATATCTGAACCCCAAATGTATAGATCTCTAAGAGCACCCCAAACTTAAAAGGAAAATCTGAATGTGCTGATACAGACGTATAATAAAAGGGGACCCTTTCTTTCTCAACTCCAGCCATAGCTGTGAAATTTAGTTACTTTGGCTTAAAAAAAAAAATCCCAGCAATTTACTTAAAAGTAATTGATCCCTCCATAATTCCGATTTCTTAACTTACTTCCAAGCTCTGCACTCTGGCTCAGTGCCAGGCCCTCAAACCTGCTTCCAAGCACCTCTGTCCCGCCGTGCGCTCCTTCCTCGCTGGGTAAAGGGTGCTGTCAGGTGGCATCCACCCCTGTAGGGGACAGGAGTCAGCGCATAGAATGTTCCTAAATGGAAAAGTGTTGAAGCGGCCACCACCGTGGCTCAGGTGTGGGCCGCGCTAGAACAAGCGTCCACATTTAACCCGCAGCTGTCCGCGTGATGTTCCTGAGCAACAAGTGGTACCTGGGTGCGCGCGACTGAGTTACGGGAGGAAAGGGTGGGCCTGGCCAGGCACGAGAGCAGGACCCCGGGAGAAGGCGGGCAGCCCCAGGCCAGGTGCGCCGAGGTCCCGCGGGGCTCCCAGGGCAGGAGGCCAGAGCTTTCTCAGGTCCTCCTGACCCGGCTGGACCGCCCACATCGCTGAAGACCGCGTCTCCATAGCAGTTGTGCTTAAACACAACACCCAACCATCGTGACTGCCCGGGTCCCTAGAAAATCCCGGACGGGGTGGAACATCCCGAGTGCGCGCCAGGAGAACGGGCTTGGCATCCAGGGGGACTTTGAAAATGGTAAGCTTCTCGGTGTATTTGCCCCAATAATCCACAGAAACAGCAGTAATCTAAAAATAGTCTTGTTTTCTGCCCTAAGCTCCTTTTAACTTGGTTAGTCATCACCCATTCTTAAAATAAAATCCGTGTAACGTCTCTCCTGGTAGCGGCTATAAACACACCTCAAGAGGAAGCGGGAGGCCCGGCCGGCGGGAGGGGCGCGCAGGGGCCGCGGCCGCAGCACGGAGCTCGGGGGCCGCGCGGTGGCCGCAGGACCCGCCGCGGACCCGGGGGCGCGCTGGCCGCAGAGCTGTGCCGCCGCCTCCGGAACTCCCTACGCCTTGGCGCGCGGCCACCGTGGTCCCGGCAACGGCATTAAACAGAGGGAAACAGACGGGGATTCCGTCACCGGGCGGGGGAATAAGGAGGGCATTGAGAGCAGACAGGAAAGAGCTTTTCTGGATGGAGTGAAAATTATTTATCGAGGGGGAGGGGAGGACCAGCCACCTTGGCCACCAGCCCCGGCTCCAGCTCTTCCCCGTCCAAGGGCGCACCCGCCCATGTGGATCCCGCGGGCAATGGGCCGGGGAGGGGGTGCGCCCACCCGTGTGAAAGTGCGGGAGGGGCAGAGGTGGAGGTCAGAGTTGACTTTAACACGACATGCGGGACCTCCCTTCGCTTCCCCCACAACAACCCAGCCTCCTCGCCACCGCGTTCTGGGGGTGTGGGGCGGAGATCAGTGGGCGGAAACCCTCCAGGCAAAATCCTTGGGGGGTGGGGGGGAGGACGGGAAACGGAAACTCTCCAGGCAAAATCCTGCACCCAAGTCTGGGTACACCAGTGCAGAAAGATCTTGTGCAGGGAGGTGGCGCGGAGGGGGGGGGGGGGGGCGGAGGGGGGCGGAGGCGCGAGGGCGGCGCGGTCCTGGCGCCCCCTGGCGGCCTTCCCCAGCCGGATTCTAGCTTCTCACTGAGCATCCGGCATCCTCGCCCTGTCCCCCACACCCTCAGAGTCCTCGCGGGGGTTCCCCCAGCCTCGGGGTCCTCGCGGCCACTCCACCCTCTCAGAGTCCTCGCGCCCCTCCCCCAGCCTCAGTGTCCTCGAGGGGCCCCCCTCTCCCTGCGCCTGGGCACCAGTTATCAGCGTGAGAGCACGTGTACAGGTAGTGACTCGTGAAAGTGTGACACCCACACAGACACCCCAGGGATGAGGGGCTTAGTGGGAGACCTGGCCCGGAGAGAGATTTCGGTTCTGTCCAGTGGACGCCGCTGGGCAGTTTGCTATCATTTACTGTCCCACCCGATTAGCTGTCTAGACCCCCTTTCCCTGGGTTCCCCATTTCCCTGGGTCCCGGGCCTGGATTAATCTGGGGGACCCATCGGCACCCCGCAGGCCTCCTGGATCCCCGCAGCAGACGCGTCTCTTGCTTTTGAGTTTATTTTAAACCACATAAGCGTGTCGTGCCATAGATTTATGGGTTTTGTACACCAGACATTTTTACCGCCCTAACACTCCAGTCCCTTCCATCCGCGGCCAACGAGAAAATATGGTCCCGTTTGGCAGCAGAGCTGCGCAGAGGCCGAGAATTTGAAAGAGGAAAGTGTTACTTGAACGGCGGCGTCGGCGCTGCGGGCCCAGAGCAGCCCCGCTGGCCGATCCCGAGCCAGGGGCCGGGGGCCGGGGGGCAGGAGCCGGGGGAGGGGCCGCGCGGCTCCCCTGCCCACCCCCAGCTCCTGCAACCGGAGATGGGATGGCTCGGACATTTACACAGTGAAACGACAGTAAGTCGAGGTACCGGGACTGCCGTGCAATCTGTTAGTGATTTGGCGGGGTGGGAATTTCCTTTCTCGGGCCTGCCAGTGGGAGCGCTTTTCCAAATTTCCACCGCGGGGAAGCCTGCGATTTTACATAATGACTTCAGCATGCCGCGCTCTGGCGCCCCTCGGCCCTGCTACCCCGCCGCCCCGCTCTGGGGCAGACAGCGACTCTGTCGACCCCCCCTGGACCCGGTCAAGGCTGGTCCGTGCACAGTGCCCCCACGCGAGCCCATGCCCGCCTCACTTGCGTCCCAAGCCGAAAGAGGGGCAGCTCGGTCCGGGGAGGGGCCCCGCGCTCAGCACTGGTCCCCCGGGCCCGCGCCGGCTCGGGCGGGCGGGCGGGGCGTGATGTCATGGCAGGGAGGGGGCGCGGGAGCACCGGGCGACGGGAGGCGGGGGAGGTGTTTTCCAGCTTTAAAAAGGCAGGAGGCAGAGCACGGCCCTGCGTCAGAGCGAGACTTTGAGACTCCGGACTCGCAGGCACAGTCGCTGCGAGGGATCCGGCTGCCAAGCGTGGGGACCGGGCACGGGCGCACCCCTCCTAACGCTGCCACTGCCACCCCGCTTGGGTCCCGGGCCGCAGCCGCCCCGCCACACGCGCACACGCCCCTGGATGACATTTCTCCGGGGCGCGCGACGCTGAGCCCAGGCAGCGCGCGTCCGCCGGGGAGTCAGCTTCCCGGGAGCCCGACCCCGGCGGTGCCCGCTCCTCCTCCTGTTCCGCGCCGCCGCGGCCGCGTGGATGCCAAGCACCAGTTTTCCAGTCCCTTCCAAGTTTCCACTCGGCTCTCCGGCTGCCGGCTGCGGGAGAGGAGAAACTTTGGGGCCCGCGCCGCCCGCCGGCGGCACCATGAAGTCGGCGGAGGAAGGTAAGCCCGTGCGGCTGCCGCCCCCCACACGGGCCCCCAGCCCTGGCCCTGACGCCCCCAGCCCTGCGCCCACCGCCCCCGCGCCTGTGCCGCCGGCGCGAGCCCCCAGGGTCCGACCCGGGGAGGGGCCCGCTGGCCCGGCCGGCGTCTGTCTGCGCGCGCGGAGGGGCGCGGGTCCCCGGCGCGCTGGCGGGCGCGCAGCAGATTGGGAAGCGGTGTCCCCCTGGTGTTTCCCCGGAGCAGCCCTGATTTCGAGCGCGCCTTCTTGCCAATAGGTGTCTCCTCTTCTCCAGCGCTGAGTGCGCGCTCTCGGCCTTTGCTGGTGCAGTCTCGCTTTGAATCCCGGCGGTAGAAACTCGGTTCAAAGGCGGGCGGTTTGAGGACGAGGTGAGGTTAGGACCGTCAGATCCACGAAGGACACTTTGGGATGAAGCGATGTTTGGGGGAGGACGAAGGATGGTCTGTTCCCTTGCCCTGTGGGAGGAGGCCACCCTCTGGCTTCAAAGACCAGTCAAACGTGAGGTGTGGGGGCCTTGCCCCTCCGCGGGCGCTCTCCCCAAGGGTCATCCTCCAAATCCGCCTCCGCGTGGCTGAGCCGGCTCTGAGCCCTCGGGCTGGAGGCCGGATGTAGGATTGAAAGCGATCAAATGCGTTGTCCGAATGCAGCCCCTGATTCTGGCGGTTTTCCGTCCCATGGACACCAGAGTACCAACCGCAGAACACGCTTCAGGGCACTTTGAAAGGGGGCCGCCAAGTTTCCAGCTGTTTGTTCGGAGTCACAGGATGGCATGTCTGCGCTGTCGCCTGGCGATGGCGAGGCCCCTGCGGACAGTGAACTCGCCACCCTCTGCGGGGCAGTCTCAGTCACAGCCCCCTTTGTCACAACCTTGTGAGAACCACCAGCGAGCAGAGCAGCGGGGACCTCTTGTGGGAGGGGAAGCTCCCTCAGGTGTCTGGAAACCTGGGGAGGGGGTGACTAGCACCCCAGGGAGGAACTAGGATGGCAAGCGCACAAGGGGAACTGGGCGACATCTTTCCAAATGCCTTACGGGTGCTGAAGCGGTTTAAGTTACTTTAAGAAAGCTGGCAAACCTGCCAGGATAATGAGCACTCATTTTATACAGGCGGACATCCTTCCGCGGAGCGCTAGAAAGTACGCCCTGCTGCTTCCTGCTCCCGCCAGCGCCAGGCCTTAGAGTGCAGTTCCCAAAGCCTGCCAGCCGCCAGGCGGGTTACCTCTGGCAGAGGGCTCCAGCCCGCAGGCTCCGGGCAGGCTCCGTGCCACAGCGGCCTGGGGTCTCACGTGGTGTTCCACGTATTCTGAATCAAGGCAGGAAGACGCATCTTACGCTCCTTACCATTTCACCTCGATTTAGAAATTGTCAAAATGCAAACATCAGGGAATGTTTAGGGGACCAGCCTTGCTACTAAAAAAAAGTTTTTTAAAATTCTTGAGGTTTTGATTGGAAACCCTTGGACACTTATTTTAAAGTTTCCCCCACTATCACTGATTAAAAAGTTCAGGTTTTTGTTTTGTTTTGTTTTTAGTTGAATAGTCAGGGATCCGTCCTGCAGCAAAGAACCTTTTTACTCTGACAAGAGGAAAAACCATCTCTGGGGGCGGTGCCGAGCTTTCCTGTTTCCTACTGAACAAGATGTATTTCAGAATGCCTCTGCTGAGCCCGCAGTGCCAGGTGCAGCCTGGCCTTTGACTAAACAAATACTGGTGTATTTTATAAGGACAAAATTAGGCTAACCAGAACGTATGATCTAATCCGTAAATACAGGCCCTCCATCTGAGGCAGGTCGCCCTGCAGGGCTGGGGGGACGACCTGCCCCACACAGGCCCTCGGAGGCATTAGGTGCCATCTCGGAGTCTGAGGCCGCTGGCCTCCCCTAGTCATGAGCTTCGGGCTGCAGCTCGTTAGGCACTGTTGTTTCTGATGTCCCCAGCTTGTCTTCCCTGCGCACAAGGCGGAGAAATGCAGGCCTGTAGGTAGCCACCCGCCCACCCATCCCGAGGTTGCTTCACACTGACTGCCCCCAGGCTCCCAGAACAGAACAAAGCACCCCTGTTCTCTGGTCCCGCCATTTAACTTCTCGGCCATGTTTCCTAATCCAGATTAGAAGGGCGCTGGCTCCCCACTGCATCACACTCGGGGCTGGAACGTGCACCAGGGAACACCCGCAGCCTCTGAGGAGCGCCAAGCTAAACATTTCCATCAAGACAGGAGTGTCTGCTGAGTTGGCAAATAGCTCCGACCACTTTTAAGATGAGAGTCCTGGGGTGCTTGTAAGAGGAGCATGTTTTCAAAAGGGCCACCCCAGCTAGTCACCTTGGTTGGGGATCTGAAACTAAGTGGGGACCAGCTCAACCTTGGGAAGAGCAGCCCTGAGTCCTGAATCCCGCAGGGCCCAGGGCCCAGGGCCCAGGTGAGCACGGCCCACGGAGCGTCCACTCACCTCTCCAGGATAGTGGAGCGAAAGGTTTTCATCTAAGCAGATGATGAAGGCTCTTATTTGTGTGTCAATTTTTCGCAGAGGTGAGAAGGTGGCTGAAGTTAAAAAAAAAACACACGGAGAGAAAATGAGATGTTGTGGCTTCTCAACAGAAAACAGAACTTCCATTTGCCTGAAGGTCAGCAAAAAAAGCAAACTAAAACAAAACAACCCTCCAACATACATCTCAAAGTGAGAACTATTATTAGAAACTAAATCAGGCCAAAGTGAACTATAGTTTATCACTGGAGAAAACCAGCCCTTTGCAAAGGGTCACGGGAGAGAAGCTCTGGGGGGCAGGCGGGGTCACGTGACTAGTGACTAAGCGGGGGTCCCTGCTTCTGGAAAAAGCAATGCCCCCGGGGCAAAGGGCCGTGGGGCAGAAAGGAGGGCGGGTTAGCCGCAGGATTGCCACTGCGGCTCTGGTTCCACTGCCCTCTCCCCCTTGGGACTGGAATGCCCCCGTGTGCTTCTCTGGCTGGCGCGGTGGCCTTCACGACCCCCCTTCCTGTTGCAGATGCTGGCTTGGGGTGGTGCCCCGACCCTGGGGACAGTTAGCGCTCATAGCGGGGAGAAAGACAAAGGGCGGTGGGTGCGCTGCTCTGCGCCCCCCTGGGGTTCAGCCCTTCGGGGCTCGGAGCTGCCAGGCCTGGCGGCGGCGGGGGGGAGGAGGTGCATTCCCCACGCACAGGAGTGTGCGGGACGTTTAGGAGGTTGGGGACTGGAGGAGGAGGTGTGACGGAAAAGAAGGGGTGCCTTAGGGGCCCGGGCCTGCGAGTCAGACCCCGGAGGCAGAAAGGCCCGGGAGCTAGGGCGTGAACGCGGTGTGGCGGCGGCCGAGCCGGAGCGCCCCTGTCCTCCCTGCGCCGCGGGGCTGGCGGGGCCCTGGGGGTCCGGCCGGGAGGTTCGGGCCTCGGCGGGTAGCGCCACCCCCTTCCCCCGAGAGCACGGCGGCGCGCAAGCTTGAAAAGAAACAAAGTTGTAGACGGAGTCCGCGGGCCTGGCCGGTGCCGCCGCCGCTCTGGGCGCGGGCACTGCTCTTTGCGCCACTTGGTGCCCCGGAGGAGCCGGCGGGACGCGTGGGGTGCGGCCAGGGCGCTCCCCCCTCGCACGTGGACCCTCGAGGCCGCGGGACACGCTGGGGTCTCGCCCGCGGGTGGGGCGCTAGGGCGGGACACCAGCAGCGGGCGTGCGCCCGGCTCCCGGAGTTTATTTAAAACTCGGGACGCCGCCGCGGAGCTGTTTGTGTGAACCCGGAAACGCGGGGGAGGGGCCGGAGCGCGGGCGGGGGAGGGGCGGCCGGAGTCACGTTACCGGGACCGGCTGGGCGCCGGGCGCAGGGCGCAGCCGAGCGGGGCGGCGACCACAGGTGCCCGCGGCCGGCCGGGGACCCACCCGACCCGGCCCGCACCCCGGCCCCAAACCCGATTCTGGCCGCAAACCCGACCCCGACTTCCCTGGGTCCCGGCCCCGACCCTCTGGACCCTGGACCCTGGGCCCTGGACCTCGGACCCTGGCAGTGACCCCTGATCCCGGACCCTGACTCCGATCCTGGACCCCGACCTCAGACCCCGGCCCTGACCCTGAACCCCAGACCCCGGACTCTGACTCCCACTCCGGACGGGCCTTCCCGACATGACGGGTCTGGAGGAGGACCAGGAGTTCGACTTTGATTTCCTTTTCGAATTTAACCAGAGCGACGAGGGCGCCGGGGTCGCCCCAGGTGGGTCCGCGCGGGTTGGAGGTTCAGAGCCCAAGGTGCAGGGGACACGGGCTGCAGGGTCTGGGTGTACAGGGCAGGGGTTGTGGGTCTGGGGTGCATTGTCCAGGGTGCTGGGGTGCAGACCGGGGGTGCAAGGGTTGGATGTAAAGGGTCCAGGGGTGCAGGTCCTTGTGATGCAGGGGTCGTGGGTGGAGGCTCTCGGGGTACAGGAGTCAGCAGGCGGGGTGAGGTCTGGAAGAGCCAGGCTGGGGCACAGTCTGGGGCCAGAGCAGCCCCTCCCAGTCTCTCTGCTCCTGTGTCCCTTGGTCCCAGACCCCTGCCCAGGTCAGGGCAACACCATAGTGTCCCCACTCCCGGTCCGGTGCCCAGGCCCCTGTGGAGCAGGAGGAAAACAGGTCAAGTTTAATGGAGAGTGGCGGGTGGGGCCGAGGGAAGCCCTGTGAAGCCGCTTGGTGCCACAGCTCAGGTGTCCGGCGTCAGGGAGCTTCGGGTCCCCTGCCTGTGGGTCACTTGTGCTGGTCTCTGGAGCCTTCCTGTGGAGGGGCCGCTGGCTCCAGGCGGCCGCTGCACCACTCAGGCCAGGGCACAGGAACGTCCAAGGCCCAACTTGGACAGTGCCTGGGGACAGGTGGTGAGTGGTCACTGCCAGAGGGCAGGGGGGCCATGGAGCCCCCCATCTGTTGGGCTCCTAGCCCCTCCCAGAACCAAGCTAAAGTGGAAGTGGCCCAACCCTGGGGGGGGGGGGCGGTCCTTTTCTTTCTTTCATTTTCTCTCCTCTGCCTGAATAAAGGGACCCTGCTGCCCCCAGAATGGGAGCTCTTGAATAAGAATACGTGCTTCGGAGAGATCCCGGCCTGTCTGCCAGGCCGTGGCTTGGGGAAAGCCAGGAGCCCCTTCTCAACACTCTTTTTCTGTGGCGACTTCAGGGTCGCTCTCTGTCAGTGCGGTGCCCACGTGGCAGTGAGACGATGAGGCTGCACACAATACTCTTGGCACTGTTGCCATTTCTGCAACAATTGTATAATATTTTCCATACTGTCCACGCTTTTCTTTTAAAGACTGTAACACCCTGGTCGTTTTAAAAAAATAAATGTTCTGACCAGGCCGAGGCTGCCGATCTTCCTTACCTGCGCTCCTCTCTGACCGCCTCCCGTGTCTTCCTTGGCTGTGGGTTTCCAGGCCTCGGAGACATGGGCGCCCAGGCAGACCCCGTGGGAGAGATCTGAGGCCTTGACTCCCCCCTGCCCCCCCCCCCCCAGGTCTGGCTGCCTGTGGCTCTCGGTGCAGCGCTCTCCCTGAGTGTTCAACCACTTTTCAGTTCATTTAGCAAAGATGGCAAATGACAGGTGCAAGTATGGACCGCACTCCCGGCCTCTTTATGGTGTGAAAGGCCGGGATGTCACGTAGTTGGGGTCACACAATATGTAGCTTTTTAGAGCAGTTCCTTGCACTTAGCAATGTGCATGGGAGGCTCCTCCGGGTCTTTTCCTGGCTCGACAGCTCATTTCTCTTTAGTGGTGAATAGCATTCCACTGTCCGGATGGGCCCCAGCTCTTCACCCATCACTCTCTGAAGGATGTTTTGGTTCCTTCCAAGTTTTGGCAATTATGAATAAAGTCTTTTCTTCTTGTTCTTATTAGTTGCGCATTAAATTTATTAATCATTAAATTATTATGCTATTATATTAAATTGTTACATTCAATTCTCCAGCTCTGAATGGGTGATAGCAATGGCTTCACGTGATCTCCGGGCTGGGCCTGGATATAAATAAATGAATGAGTGACTAATAGCGAGATCAATTGTAAGCTTGGTGACACAGCTTTATTAACACATGCTGAGCACAAAAACAGGCCCTTCATCAGGACAGGTCAGCCCTGACCACAGGCAGCCCGGCCGCTCGTCTGGGTCACGGTTCCTCTGACTTGAGAGCGGAACCCTCGGTGGCCTGTCCTCCAGGGCTTAGCCCTCATCCCCCCCGTCACTTAGGCCACCTCATGCTCTTATTGGCTGTGTGGCACTGATGGGCTTCTGTCTTACCTGTTCCTTCAAAGGAATGACTGGGTCTTGGGGTTCTTTTTTCCCAGAGGGCCTAGCAGGTGCAAATAGGCAGTCAGCAACCATTTCTTGGGAGAAAGAAAAGAGAATTTTAAAAATAATGTGCTCTGGGCTGGGTAGGTGAGCTGTTTGCACCCATCTATCTTCCGGTCCGTTGGCCCCAACCCCCTCCTGGGGGCAGAAGGCTGGGCAGTGGGTCTCCTGCTCACCTCTGGGTCTTAGGAAAGAGCTGCTTGCTGTCAGTTGGGAGGCGGGCGTGGCCCAGCTTGCCGCCAGGGCTCCTGTTTGCTTCGTTATTTTGGCCGGCCCACCACTGCCAATACTGTCACCCTGGCAACTCCGGAGGAACTTGGCCAGGCCTCTGGGTCTGGCTGGAGTCTCCCCAGCAGTCGGGCCACCTCCAGCTCAGTGCAGCCGGTCTGCGCCCCTCCGCATGCTTGGTGGGCGGCATTTTGTCGCTCCCATGCAGAAGGGATGTCTCTGGAGGCATTTTTATTCTCAAGTCCGTTCTCAGCAGTGGTGAGGGTGCCGTGAAGAGCCAGAGCCCTGCTCACATGCAGGTCAGCCCGGCCGCAGACACCAGGTGGGAGCCCACCCTGGGAACGCCGTCCCCCGGCAGGGAGGCCCTGGAAGCAGGGGGCATGCCAGGTGGGGCGGACGTCACTGTTTCAGGACAAGCCCCTGTATCTTTCATACGAGTGGCCCCACCGCCCTCAGAGACAGTTGTTTGTATGGAGGGCACTTTAATTCTGTGTTATGTTCGTCAAAGGCAGACCACAGCTAGTCAGGAACAACTTGCTGGTTTTAGCTCCTTAAATACAGAAAGAGAGGTAAGGCGCTCCAGGCCGAGGGCCCTCCGAAGGGCCAGCGGGGCTCGCTTACGGGACATTCTGGGGGGTGTTTGCCGCCATGCGGAGGCTGTTCTGTTGGCCTTTGCAGAGCCTTCTCCGGGCAACTTGTTGGGCCAGTGGTGCGCTTGGAAGCTGTCTCTGTCTGTCATCCGTGGGGCCTGCCCAGTCCCCGCGCCCTGAGGTAGCGCTTTCCGCTGCTGCTCAGTAAACAGGTTTCAGCGCTGGTCTGGGCACTGAGCATGTTTTGGTTTTATTTTGTTTTGTTTCCATTACCTGCAAAATTATAATCTTGCCGCGTAGGTACCAGCCCCATTGCCCAGTGGATGGGGGTCCGGCCAGGCGTTTGGGAGGACGGGGCCTGGCAGTCACTCATGTCAGTTCTATTTCTAACCTCATGTCCTGTGGCTCAACCCCAGCAAACACGAAAGAAAAGTAAAAGTCAGTGTGTCTCTCAGAGTTTGCAAAAGACCGCAGGATGCACAGGGGCCAGAGCGGAGATTCCTGTTGGAAACGTCTGCTCAGGGGACACGGGGCCCCGCGTGTGCCGAACATCAGCGCAGTCGGTGCTGGGCCCGCCCCCGGTCCCAATGTCACAGCTGCGGAAGGGCAGCCCCCACAGGGTGGTCACGGGTGCCCGCATGACACCAGGTACTATTGGCCTTAACAGAACGCACGTGGATAAAACTTGGGGGTGGTGATTTAGAAAGAATAAAATAGTAGGGTTCTGAAATAAATTACTTCTCAAAATGAGAAAATTTGCTGAGCATTGAATTTGCAGTGGGCGCTGGACCGGCCTAGGAGCCGAACAAACCCCTGCCAGCCGCCAGGCCCCGCCTGCTCTCACACCGTGTCCATCATCCAGCCCCAGAGCGCCTGGTACGGTGCTCTGCCGGGAGGGTGTTGGCGCCAAGGAGAACGAGGAGAGTAAGGGGCGGGCAGTTCCTGTCTTCCCAGGATGAGCCCCGGTTTTATGACTTTTATGATAGTAAACTACTTTGAATAAGCTCCCGGTGTTTGCTTAGCTCCTGCTGCGGCTTTGTACTCACCTGCACTGTAATTTAATGAACCCTCCTCGGCAGGTGGCCAGGGCCCAGAGCGCCAGCAGAAAATGACTCCAATGGGTGCTGAGCTCCCTGGGGGCTCCTGACACGCCATGAATAGGCCTGACATCGCAGGATTGTTAGGAAAGTTACTGGAAATATTGTCATTCCATGTAAATGGGGTCCCTTTGAATAACTAAATAATTCAGACTTGAACGCAGTTTCTTTGGTAATAAAACCAAACGAAGTGAAGCGGGAAGGGAGGGTGCTTGGCCCTGCCGGCTGCGACTCTACCTCCTTGTGGTTTTGTTCTAAAGGGAGAACTTCGTCATCAGCTCCGTGGAGTGTTCATGGCGAGGTTTACCCTATCAGGGCCTTCATTTCAAAATTTGTCTAATTACGGAGAACTCATGCTTAGGTGAGTCTTTTCTTGTTTTCAAATAAAGGCTTTGTGTTTTTTCTCCTCGTCGGCAGGCTTAGATTCATTTAAATGAAGGCCGCTTCCTGGAATATTCTGGTTGTCAGTGGACCCCGTGCTCACACAGAACTGCCCCTCACTCTGCCCACCCCCTCCTACCTGCCAGTTTATCCCCAACCTTCCAAAGGGCTAAGCCCTGTGGGCAGCTGTTGGGGAGCCCCCAGACTTGCTCTGCTAATGGCTAGACATTTTTTTTTTTTAATTCTCAGAATTACCTTCCTGCCAACAAATGGTTCAACTGTGGGATTGGCTATACTAGTATCTCTTTGTTTTAATTTTTTTAAGTATATTTCTATTGATTTCAGAGAGGGAGAGGGAGAGAGAGATAGAGGAACATCAATGATGGGAGAAATCATTGATCAGCTGCACGCCCTACACTGGGGATCAAACCCATAACCCGGGCTTGTGCCCTGCCCTGACTGGGAATCGAACTAAGACCTCCTGGCTCATAGGCCAATACTCACCCACTGAGCCACACGGGCTGGGCTGGCTCTATCTCTTAAAATATGTTATAGATGTGCATCATATTTTTTTAGCTGGACAGGAAGTGTAGGGATCTGTCCAAAACCTCCTCCAAGGCCCAGGCGGGGCTGGTGCCAGGCCTCCTGAAAAGGACACCCAGGGCTCCTTAGGGCAGGACCCAGCAGTGCTGGGAGGCAACTTCATGTCTACAACGACACGTCATAATTCCACGTGCCTCGTGCTGCGTCCCTGGAGATGGCGGTTTCTCTTTGACGTGAACGTTCATTTTCTATGGATGTTAGGTCATCTGCTGCTTCGCAGACACAAAGGCTGTAACCAAGCAGTGGACCCAGCGTGGGTGTGCGTGTGGGGCCCGTGCTCACAGGCAGCCCTGGCTGGATGGGCTGCTTCCTTCTGTGTGTGTGTGGGGGGGAGGGGGAGGTTGCTTGTTTCTGTCATGGGGACGTTGCCACCTCAAGGACCAAACGTTAGGAAAGCTCTGGTTCCTGGGGAGCAAAGTTTGACTGATGCAGGCGGGCCGTGCGGACTGTAGCCACTGCCTGGTTCCTGCAGCCTGGGGTATCGTGGGAGCTCCCAGGGACATTCATCTGCCCCCAAAGCAGGAGGGGTGCCGAGACCACAGGAAGTGACCCCCGGCTCCGTCTCATTGTGCCAGGAAAGTGCGTGTCCAGACTAGGAAAAGGTCAGCAAGTTCCCTGTGGGTGACCAGCCAATGCAGGGGAGCTGGGCTGCAGAGGGGTCTGCAGGGGAGCTGGTGGGACACCGGGGGACCCCCACTCCTTAAGGAGGAGCCTGGGCAGCCAGGAAGGGGTGTGCTGCCAGCACCTGCGGCTGTAGAGGAAACACACCAAGACGCAGTCATCTGGTCCGTAGTGAAGACTGCCAGAGTGGAGGCAGGCAAGCCTCTCTCTGACCTACACTTAATGTTGGAACAAGTCAAACAGAATAGAGCTGTTTGTTGAAGTCTAATTACTAAAGTCCTGCCCCATAGGTATACAGTTCGGTTTCACACTTGCTTTGCTAACATCCTACTTACGGATCATTAGACAGTAATAACCATAATCACACAGTGACAGGATGGGGCTTCGCTCTTGGTCGGACTGGCTGATGTCGGACTTTACCTCCAGTCGGAAGGACTTGTTGACACCTGCCGGCCGCTGATGTCCTTTTATTGAACTGGGAGATCTGGTGGGACACTGGGGGGTGTTGGGCCGCCATGGAGAGGACGCGGGATGGGGCCGTGTGGCCGTGTCTGTGAACACGTGGGAGAGTGTGCAATAAGGTGCACGTGGCTGTAGAGAAGCATTATTTACCAAGGCCATCTTTAGACTCCCTTTGGAAGGAATACAAAGTAGCATGTCGTCTCCCGGTGACTGAAGGAGTAAGATTTCCTTCTGTGGGGCTTGCCTGCCCTGGCCTGGTCCCTCTGGACAGAGCCCAGGCCTGGCCTCTTCGTGTCCAGCTCAGGCGCTTTCTGTGCTGTTTGTCATGGCCCCGGGCGGGGGGACGGCCTCTGGGTCCCTGCCTGGCGCCTGCACACAGGAATGCAGGGACGTCCCCACTGAGAGGTCACCATGACCCCGGAGCCTGGGGCCTCAGCAGCTGCAGCCCCCTGCTACCTCCTCCTGAGGAACCTGACCTCTGACATGAGGAGCCTTTCCAGGGTTATTAGCTTCTTGAAGTTTTATCAATATCATAACCAAATTTTAACATCTGATTTCAGTTTTTGTGTTAAAAACTGGCTGGTGTGACTCAGTGGGTTAGAGCACTGCCCTGTGCACAGAAGTGTCCAGGGTTTGATTCCCAGTCAAGGGCGTGTACCTAAGTTGCAGATTTGATCCTTGGCCCAATGGGGGCATGTGCTGGAGGCAACCAACTGATGTGTATCTCACATTGGTGTTTCTCTCTCTCCCTCTCCTCCCCTCCCACTCTCTCTAAAAACCAATGGAAAAAAATATCCTCCACTGAGGATTAACAAACAAACAAAAAGTGGTAGTGAGCACGTGAGGGTGTTGGTGTGTGCCGGGGTCACTGATGATGTTGGTGGCATGGGTGTGGTTGTCCAGGACTGTCAGCAGAGCTGGGCACTGGCATTGAGGTCAGGCCTCCCCTGGTCCTCTTAACCCTGTGGACATGAGGCTCATCCTTTTTTCATGTGACTGTCCCCAGTGTCCCGCTGGTGCCTGGGGAACACCCTGGGGGCACAGGATGGCGAGGACCAGCATGTTCAGGACATTGCATTGTGGACGTGTAGCTGCAGGGCCTGACAGGCACGCCCCGGGCATGAGGCATCCCTGCTGCTCCAGCCTCTAACTTTCTCAACCGTAGCTTTGTTTTCTCTTCCTTGTCACGCCTCCGTGTCCCCCGGGGGCTCTTTGGAACCTGGCACCAGTTTTGAGCATCTGGAACACGGTTGCTCTCTCTCCAAAGGGCCGCTCGCAGCACAGGGTTGAAGCGGCTGTGGGTTCTCCCCAGGCTGCCTGGAGGGGCCGGGCCTGCCGTCTTGGGAACAGCCAGTGTTTTTACCAGGGGGATTTAGCGCCTTCAGAGCAAGAGCCTCTTGACTGCAAGGATTACAAGGCTGGATTATCGAGGGTGGTGGATGGCTGCTTTTGGAAACAAGTGGGTCCAGCCTGTTTGGTGTCTGTACCCATTCCTGTTAGCAAGGGCCATGGGGTTGTGGACCAGCACCCTGAGACCCGGCCTGCTATGGGTGCACCCACGTGGTGTCTGACACAGCACAGCCATCAAATAAGACGTCTTTGGTGGGTCACTGCGGCGGGAGCCAGGATAGAATTTCCTTGTGGGTGTTTCCATTATTTAGCGACCTGGATATCTGCTCCACCGCACACAATAATACAGAACAAAGATGTTTTCAAACTGGAATCCAGAGTGGCTTTTCTGATAAAAATTACTAATTACACTAGTAATGATTTTTAAAAATATCTTGTTGAGGTTATAATTAGCATATAATGATTCTTAAATCCAGCTGTGTGCCAATATCATCTGCTTTGTTTTTATTAAAGGAGGGATTTTCTAGGTCATGAGCCACCATCAAAGCTTATGTGAGAGAAACCCCAGAATCTGCTTCCATCCAACTCTTGGGGTGTTTTCTTTGTAGCTGGTGATAAGAGCAGCTCAACAGTGACTAGTCTATTAAAACCTCTTTATATGCACAGGTCCCTCTATCTAAACCCACCTACTCAACCCACCCACCCATCTACTCACCCACCTACCCATTTTCTATCCATCCCATCCATTCATCTACCCACCCATTCATCATCTATCCATCCATTTATCCACCCATCCATCCATCCATCATCCATCTACCCACTCACCTCCCCATTCATCCACCCACTCACCCATTCATCTACCTATCCATCCATCTATACATCCGTCCATACATCTATTCATCCACCCATTCTCCCTCCCATCTATCCCTTCATCCATCCATCCATCCATCCATCCATCCACTTATCCACCCCCTGTTCATTACATCCATTTATCAATTCATCTATCCATCCACCCATTCACCTACCTACTCATCTGTTATTCAACTATCCATCCACCCATCCATCTGTCAAACAAACTGAGCACCTATTATGTGCCAGGCACAGTCCTAGGCTCTGAAGACAGTGAACCACAGTAGATTGAGGCAGGCAAAGGCTCCTGCCTTCAGGGAACTTAGTTTTCTGCTGGTGAAAGAGATGAGGCACAAGATGATGATGAGTACCAAGGAGAGGAAATGAACTGGGGAAGGGCTCATTCAGAACTCTGACAGAGCTGTTCGGGAGGCAACTTTTTTTTTTTTTTAATAATTTTAATTTTAATTTTATTTTTTTATTTTATTTATTTTATTGCTTAAAGTATTACAAAGGGTATTACTTATGTGTCCTTTTTTTTGAGCAAAGAGCAGAAAAAAGCAGGGAGGCCATTGGTGCTGCTCTGGGAGGAAGGATGTTGGGCCGAGGGCAGCTGAGTGAGGGGCTGTGTGCTGGAGTGGAGACGGGGGAGGCCAGGAAGGGTCCCAGGAACCTCATTGCCTGGACAGGTTCCCCCGGGGAGGCCATTGGAGCAGCGTGAGCACCGCCCACGCCGGGCGGGGGTGAGGCCTGGAGCTGTGCCGAGACCTGGGACCCGATTCTGAGGCGCACTGGGCTGTGGGTTTGATGACTGGCCCCCTGATGCCATCTTTTCCTTTTCATTTTTCCTTCCAGAGCATTACAGCTATGTGTCCTCCAATATCAGTCCGGGCCTGTCCCTGCCCACGGCGCACCCCTCCCTGCCGGTGCAGTGCCACGACATGCAGACGTCAGCCCCCGGCCTCTCCGCCGTGGCGGCCGCGAGCCACCCCTCGGGGTACGGAGCCGCTGTGGACGGCGGGCCCTCGGGCTACTTTCTGTCTTCCGGCCACGTCAGGCCCAACGGAGCCCCGGCCCTGGAGAGCCCCCGCATTGAGATAACGTCCTACCTGGGGCTGCACCACAACAACAACCAGTTTTTCCACGACGTGGAGGTGGAGGACGTCCTTCCCAACTCCAAACGCCCCCCTTCCACCGCCACCCTGAACCTGCCCAACCTGGAGGCCTACCGGGACCCCTCCTGCCTGAGCCCGGCCAGCAGCCTGTCCTCGCGCAGCTGCAACTCCGAGGCCTCGTCCTACGAGTCCAACTACTCGTACCCGTATGCGTCCCCGCAGACGTCCCCTTGGCAATCCCCCTGCGTGTCCCCCAAGACCACAGACCCTGAGGAGGGCTTTCCCCGAGGCCTGGGGGCCTGCAGCCTGCTGGGCTCCCCGAGACACTCCCCTTCCACCTCGCCCCGCGCGAGCATCACAGAGGAGAGCTGGCTGGGGGCGCGCACCTCCCGGCCCTCGTCCCCCAGCAACAAGAGGAAGTACGGCCTCAATGGCCGGCAGCTGTCCTGCTCCCCGCACCACTCGCCCACGCCGTCCCCGCACAGCTCGCCGCGGGTCAGCGTCACGGACGACACGTGGCTGGGCAACACCACGCAGTACACCAGCTCGGCCATCGTCGCCGCCATCAACGCCCTGAGCACCGACAGCAGCCTGGACCTGGGCGACGGCGTCCCCGTCAAGGCCCGCAAGACCGCCCTGGACCACTCTCCCTCGGTGGCGCTCAAGGTGGAGCCGGCGGGCGAGGACCTGGGCACCACGCCGCCCTCGTCTGACTTCCCGCCCGAGGAGTTCCCCCCCTTCCAGCACATCCGGAAGGGCACCTTCTGCGACCAGTACCTGTCGGTGCCACAGCACCCGTACCCATGGGCCCGGCCCAGGTCCCCCACGTCCTACGCCAGGTGAGCGGGCGGGGTGGGTCCCAGGCTGGAGGTCTGCGTGCAGGTGCCGCAGGGCTCGAACCCCTGCAGCTCCGAACCAGAACCACCTCCCCAGCACCGGGGTTTGCTGCCACTCGGGGGAGTCTCGTCTTCAGCAGCTTCACCCATCCCAGCCCTCCGTGTCACGTGGCTCTCTCCCTGGCATCTTTATAAGGACACGGTCATCGTGGCTGCAGCCCAGCCTCCAGGCATCACTCACCCCCTGACAGGCCCAGCGGCACATAAATTCACATTCTAGGGAGTGGGGTTAGGGCTCCTGCATACAGAGTCTGGGGCACACAGAGTTTACAAATACGTGCGCTTGGCATTTGTTTTGCGAAACCAAACGATCCCTGCCCTGTTTGTTTTCGCCTCCTACTCACCCACTTCCCGTCGTCTCCACCTAATTGCTGTCAGCGCTGGGTGCAGATGGGCCTCAGCGCAGCACTCCCGAGCGAGCTAGAGCGAGCGGCAGCCGCTCCCTGCCGTGCCCACGTGCCCACGCTGTTTGGAGAACAACACAGCCGCCTCCTCCCCAGAGACACACCGGCCCCTGCAGGCTGGTGGCAGGGAGCTCAGGCGTGTTCCCAGCCTCACGTCTTGGGTTGTTGATTTTTCTCTTTCACGGCGTGTGGGGCCGCTGGGGCTCAGCTGGGGCCGCTCACTCAGCCCTGCGTCTTTATTTTTAACTGAACAGCTTTCCCAACAGGTGGGCCTCTAACGACCCCTGGCGCGTGCAGCCCCTGCAGCAGCATTGTGACGGGGCGTGAAGCGTCCGCCCGTGCCTCCCGTGCGTGGCACCGTTTGACACGGGCTGCGGCCGCCTCAGGAAGAAGCCCCTGTGACCTCCAGGAAGAGGCCCGTGTGACCTGCGTGTGGTTTGGGGGGCTGAGCTCAGTGTTTAGCTGGAGGGATTCTGGAAGCGAGATGGGCGCAGGGCCCCCCCTTCCCCCGCCAGGCGCGGAGGGTGAGCAGAAGGGCTGGGCACTGTGGGACCCTCCAGAGGAGACCTGACAGTTTGTCAAGCAGTCGGTGCTGATGGCCAGGAGTCAGGACTCGGAGAGAAAGCAAAAACTGGGTTTTCTTGACGTGCATTAGGGCACGTTTTTATCCCCACGTCTGCTTTCAACGTGGAAAATTTAAAAGGCTGGTATTTTCAAAGGTGTCATCAAACAAACGTATCTCAGAACCTGGGATTCGTTAATAAGCGTGGGAACTGAAAACCCATTTGGGAGCATTTTTATAAATTTAAGGCTGGTTATGCCTGATGTGCTACTTTACAACTTCTATGTAAAGAAGAATGAGAATATTCAGAAGCTAGCCACCTCCAGTCCGCAGCCGCCCACGTGTCCCAGTGTGTGACCTTCTGTGTGTCCCTGGACCATGAAGGTCGTAGGCAGTGCCATGGGGCTTCACTCCAATCTGGACGTCAAAGGCAGAGTGCCGTCGGCAACACATCACTGTACCTGTGAGCGGGAAGATGACTGTAGCCAGGGGGTTTGTAAGAAGTTGTAAGAATTCAGTTTGTCAGGGGGGCTGGGACAAAATACCAGACTGGCGCCCTGGAGACCTCCCTCCTGGGCGTGTGGACACTTGTCATCAACCTGTCTCTCCTTTGTCTTCCTTCTGTGTCTGTCTCTGTGTCCTAATTTCTCCCACCGAGGGGGACACAGACAACTTGGATCAGGGCCCACCCAAGGGCCTCAGTTTATAACTTGATCCCCTGTAAAGACCCCGCGTCCACCTGCAGTCACATACTGAGGTCCCGGGGTGAGGACTCGGCCTCTCCCTTCGAGGTGCACTCGAGTGTTCCTGGCGGGTGGCCGTCTGCACGAGCAGCCTGGGTTTATTTAACTCGTGGTCAGAAAGCAGGTGCCCTTCGTCCCTGTCATTCCCGGGCCACCCGACTGCTCTTTATCTCTCGGTTGCAGAGCCCAGTCCGGTGTGCCGCCCCTGACATTCCTGTGCGTTCACGCAGACAAAGCCTGAGGAAGGCACGAGCCCCCCCACGGGTGTGAGGCTAACCTTTCCCACCGTTGGGGCCTCACTGCCAATATGTTTCCTGGTCCTGGCCGCCTGTTTCCCTGTGACCCGTCAGCTGGTGCTCGGGGGCAGCAGGGCCCCGTGGAAGCCAGAGGGGAGGGCGGCCAGACTTCCTTCCTGAGAAAGTGCAGCCAGCGTCAGACGTCAGCAGGTCAGCCACGCAGCGGACGCTGCTGCCATGATGGTGCAGTCTGGGCAGGGAACCTGCCACCACCAGCCCCCGCCCTCTGTTCAGGGCCTCTGTACCCGGTTACTCGTGTCCCCCCAGGAAAAGGAGCATTGTTGCGGGATGAGCCCTGGGGCCCGCTGTGGCGTCATTTCCCTGCTGGGCGGGTTTGTGGCTTACCCCTCGGGGCAGAGTGTCTGGCAGGCCCGTGGGGTTAAGACGACGCTGACTTCTTGCTTGAGTCGAACTTGATAGAATTTCACAGTTCTAGAGTTCAGACTTGTTTAGAGCTCAGTGGAATGACGCTTCTGTTGTTCGAGCTCAGGAAATGCACTGGAATTACGGCTGACCCCGAGTTCCCCATAAAAAATCGGAGTTTTAGTGTCCAGGTCAGGCCCTAAGCCTCTTGGGAACGCGAGGGGATTCTTCCCCCGCCCCCCACTTCTTTCTGTGGTGATGGTGCTGCTGCCGCTGGCGGCGTCCCCAGGCCCACCTTGTTATAGGACGCGGCCACCTGCCCGTGGGCTCAAGGGGCTGCCCGGTGCAGGGGCGCCGAGGGCGCAGGGGCCCCGAGGGTGCAGGGGCCAGGGCGGCGGGAGCATCTGGTGCCTGTGTCTGCATTTGATATTATCTAGGTGGTCGTTTGCAGATGTGCCTTTAGCCGGTTTCATATTAACCTAAAGGGGCTGAGTGTCTGCCACAGGGTTGTCTCTGTGCGTGAGAACGTTTAGTTTCTTTCAGATCCAGGTCATGAAAAGTTCTGGCTTCGGGGGTTTAATGTCTTTAGCGCCGGGACCACCTCTGACTCTGCCGGAGAGAGGCAGAGTCGTGAGGACGTAGACTTATGCTGGTTTTGGGAGGCGGAGCATGTTCCGTGCGTCTTGTCTGATTGGGTTCGAGCAGCTGGGCGAGCAGCTGGCGTTTCGATTTGCGTGCTCACAGAACACCAAGGGCCGCGATTAGCTCGATGCACAGTGTTTACTTGGAGCCGAAGGGTTCGGTGGCCTGGGGACAACGTCCAAGTCCATGTATTTTCGACGTTGCGCCTTTTAGGTCTTTGGCTGTGATATTGATGGTTTCAGAATTGTTCATAGCTTTTGTGCCAGGTGAAGTGTTCGCTTCCAAACTCTGATGAAACTGCTGAAGCCTGTTGCGTTTATAAGTTACCTGACTGTCTTCAGATGTATCCTACTTTGGAGTAAGATAAGTGCTCTGGTCAGACGCACATGTGCTAGAGTCCGAGAGAGATGAAATAAACCCGTAGGCGAGTCACCAGTCCAGCCGCAGGTCCTTCCCCGGGGGTCACCGCTCTGGCCGGCCGTGTGCTCGGTGTCCGTGTCAGGCCAACCCACCCCGGACAGTGGACGTCACTTCGGGGTTTTTCTTTTCCTGACCCAGCGGAAGCAGCACGGCACCTGCACACCATGGGGGGAAGCTCCTGGCGGTCTTCGGGGAGGTGCTGCGGGGACACAGTTGGAGTCTGCACAGCTCCGAGTGCCGACCGGATGGAGATCAGCGTCGGGGCTGCTTGCTCAGGCCCCGGTTCGCCCGCACTGAAGCCTGTGGTCACCTGGCTCCGAGCTGCCCCTCACTGGGTCCCTGCATCCAGAGACCCGGCTGGGTTTCCATCTCCCAGGGGCATCCTCTGGGGCGGCTGGGACCCCAGAGACGATGTCCCCAGGAGGCCCAGAGACTCACCCGGCCACAGCCCTTTCTAGAGCAGTGGTTCTCAACCTTCTGGCCCTTTAAATACAGTTCCTCATGTTGTGACCCAACCATAAAATTATTTTCGTTGCTACTTCATAACTGTAATGTTGCTACTGTTATGAATCGTCATGTAAATATCTAATATGCAGGATGGTCTTAGGCGACCCCTGTGAAAGGGTCGTTCGACCGCCAAAGGGGTCGCGACCCACAGGTTGAGAACTGCTGTTAGAGGATGCACTTGGTATAGGACGAGCAGGAACCGGGAGACTGTGTGCTGTTGTTGGGGACATGGGAGATGATGATATCCACTTGTGCACAGGCATGGGTCAGGTTGGAGGGCGGGGAGCTAAGCCACGACTCTCTGCGCCTGCTCTGTAGCATTTAGGCAGCTCACAGCTTTCTACCTGGCGGCTCTGAACAGGTCCAACACCAGGTGTTGCCGTCCTGACTGCCAATCGGAGAGCTTACGTGATGGTCACACCTGGGACTGTGCGTGAGCGGCCGAGGGCGGGCCGGGGGCGGGGCTTGCTTCACCAGCACAGCCCTCCCCAGGTGTGCCTGCGGGAGTGGGCCCAGGTTTCCCTGCTGAGGGGATTCTGTGAGTGTCCATTATGAGGAGAAAGAGGAACTGCAGTCCTTCTGCATCCTGGACGGCATAAAATAATTCGGATCTTTGTGGCTTTACACTCAGATTTTTAAATCGAGCGTTGAGATCTGAAATGTTGCCTAATATCAGAGAATAATCCAAATGCCAGACGAGTCACAGCCGTGCGACTGGCCAGCACCTGGGCTGCCCTGCTCGTGTTCCTGAGTGCGTGCCGGGCGGAGGCTGCGCTTGGGCCTCACGTCCCCGACCTGGGCGCCTCCGGTGTCCGGTTTTGACATTTCCCACCCTGCCCAGAGGTGGGAAGGAGGTGTCCAGTGAGGACGTGTGTCACTGACCACAGGCCAAGCAGAGCGGGTTCTGCGCCCACCTTTTCCTCCGAGCAGAGTGGTGGGGAGGGCCCTTCACCGTCGAGCCTGCAGCGAGCCCTGGGGCCGACGTGCGCCAGCGGCCTGGGGAAAC